TGTGTCCTGTACATATTCGTTTGTGTGGGTTTGTGTGTGTATCTGTCTATGTGTCTGTATACGTTTTAAAACTACCGAGTAGAACAATATGTTTGTCCGTGACAAATTTCAAAATTTTCTCCTGAAATGACAGAATTTATTCATTACCAGCAGTTGAATAGTTACCTGATAACCATGGACATGCGTAGCAACGGTAAAGCGCTGTAGAGCCTTCTCGTAATTTCCCTCCTTCAATAACATGATAAGCTTAGAATTCAAAACTGTATTAGCTCTCTATAAAAGATAGTGGCACTTGGGAAATGTTCCCGAGTGGTTGTGCGTGCCAACTGTAATCATTTGCTAGCAAGGCTGACGATGGCTCCCTCTTTCAAAGCTTGCTCGCAAGCAAGACGATGTCGGGTTTGGCACCCCGATATGTTCCAGTACCAATTTGCCATAGAAATGAATTTGTAGGGAGACTAATTGAACTACCGGAGGAATCTGCGCAACAACAGTGCAAAACGCCTTGATCGCGGGAAAATAAAAAATTCCGAGTGGATAAAATGCAGAGGTTTTCATCCTGCAGTGACAAGTGCTTCGTACTAACTTTATAGTCCAAGCAAGCCAGGTTGATTTCACCGTCGAAATTTTTTATTTTAATCGCGGAAAAATAAGAAATTCCGAGTGGATAAAATGCAGAGGTTTTCATCTTGCAGTGACAAGTGCTTCGTACTAACTTTATAGTCCAGGCAAGCCAGGTTGATTTCACCGTCCGAATCGTCTGCTGCATACTGCTCAACAAGTACCCGTGCATTCACAATATCCTCTTCACGATATTTGATCGCTGATTCCAGCTTTAACACTTGGCCAGCAAGATGAGGTTCGTCAATCTGAAAGAATGCTCACTTCTTCCTTTTATTCTTAACATCTGTAGGCGGTGCTCCCTGAGGGAGGCGCGAATGCCAACGTTTTATGCACTCAGCACTCTCTAAAACAACGTTTATTCGAAAAATGCACAAGGCTTATCTGAGAGCCGCATACAGCCTAGTCAAAATAAGATAACATTTTGTTAA